TAATTATAAAAATTCTACCTAATAATTTTAGTATTAAATGTCATACAATAATTACCATAAACAATGTTTAATAATTGACAAATTCTATTAGGCAATACAAATTACTATTATAAAATCTTTTGTAATATGGACACATTATTTTTAATTATTTCAGTTTAATAATATTATATCTTATGTATAAAAATTCAAAATAATACTTTTAGTACTATTGAATATTGATTGACTAAGAATTATTTTAATTATTAATGCAATTAATAGGTATTTAGATTTAAAAAAATTTCAAATATATGAATTATACATAGTAGCATAGAATCAATTAGTAAGACAATTGTATTAGGTAATCTAATTAATAATTTACTTCTTAAATTAAATTCCCTTTTTAATAATGAATATTTTCTTAAAGTATATACATAGACTATGGTTATCAATATAAAATTAAAAGTATATATATATATATATATATATATATATATATATATATATATATATATATATATATATATATATATATATATATATAATAAATTATACTTGACTTAATAATTATATTTGACTTAATAATTAATTATTAATATTATTGCCTAATAATTATATATTGTTACCTTTTTTTTTGTGTGTAATTATTATGGTAATTTATATACATATATAATTTTATACTTAATGTATAATATTATTGGCATGAAATAAATTATACTTACCTTAATATATAATTAATTTTTAATATAATTTATTAATTTCCTTATTTTTTAAAGGTAATTATTCTGACCTTTCATTTTTTTGTGTAATTATTATGGTAATGTATTTAAATATTTGAGTTTTTAATATTATTTTCTTATTTTTATTAAAGGTAATTATTCTGATAATTTTTCTTTTATTCTTTTGTGTAATTATTATGGTAATGTATTTAAGTATTAGAAAAGATCACAACAAATATTATAATTAATATAATTAATGAAATTATTATGGTAATTGACACAATATTTGGCAATTATAATTAATATAATTAATAAAATTATTATGGTAATTACCACAATATTTAGTAATTATAATTAATATAATTAATGAAATTGAGAAATATAAGATTTCTTCCATAGAAATATTTATGGCATTTTCATTAAATTACAATAAATAAAATATGAAATATAATTAAAGAAATGAAATTATTAAATTAACAAAACATGAAGATTTCTAATTTTTAAAATATACATACATACACTTATGCGCTATAATAATCATGCAAAATTTAAATGCTACTTTTTAAATTTTTAAATGTAATTTTTTTAATTATAAATCTATCAATATAAATTATAATTAATGAAATTATATTATAGAACTTTCCTATATACTATTAATAAATATATTTTTTATTTTTTTATTTATTTTTTATTTTAGTACTATTGACCTAACAAATTATGCTGTGGATCTGTGTCCACCTTGCAAGGTAGACACGATTCAAAAATTGTTCATAATTATGAATATATAGTTAAAAAATTATGAACATATAGTTCTATAATTATGAAGACAAAGGCGAGCCACCGGCTCCTTTTGTAAATGATGTGGGATCATTTTAATCCCACATTGAAAATGTTGGAAAAGAGAGAGCTCCTTTATATAAGAGGAGCAATGATCCTCTTATAAACATAATTGATTTTCCATCAATGTGGGCAAATACTAAAACGTCAAAAGGTTCTTATTTAAGAAGCTTTAACTTTGTCTTCTTATTTTAGTTTTTATTTATTTATTTATTATTGATTTATTATTAGTGGGGGTTGTGGAAGATTAACCCAAAATCTATATGTTGTATTAATTTTCAGCAGTTTGGAACAAATTACTGGGTTATTATGTAATATATTTTGATATTTTGATTAAAGTTAAAATGTTAAAATGACGAATTTATTAAAATTTTGGCGAATTTATCAATAATCAAATTACAAATAATAATAATAATAATAATAATAATAATAATAATAATAATAATAATAATAATAATAATAATAATAATAATAATAATAATAATAATAATAATAATAATCATCCAAAGAAAACGATATACAAAATAAAATTAAAATTAAAATTAAAAATAGCAAGAAGAAGACAAAAGGGAGCCACAGGCTCCCTTTGTAAATGATGTTGGATCATTTTGATCCCACATTGAAAATGTTTGGAAAGATGAGATCTTGAGCTCCTAAGAGCTCCTCTTACAAATATAATTGTTTGACCATCAATGTGGGAAGTATTGAGAAGTCCGAAGGCTCCTATTTTAATTTTGAGTACTATCCACTCGGCAAATTATGTTGTGAAACCGTGTCCACCTTGCATGGTAGACATTGTTCTAAAATTGTTCATAATTATGAATATATAGTTCTATAATTATGAATATAGTGTTGTGAACATAATTATGGACATATAGTTATGTAATTATGAATATAGAGATTCAATAATTGTGAATGTGAAGTTCAAAAATTTTGAATATATAGTTTTATAATTATGAACATATAGTTCAGTAATTATAAACATACAGTTTTGTAATTGTGAATATAGAGTTCAATAATTATGAATATGAAGTTCAAAGATTTTGAATATATAGCTTTTAATTATGAACATATAGTTCAGTAATTATTAACATAGAATTGTGTCCACCTTGCAAGATGGACACGGTTCCACAGCATAACTATTCGATTGACCCTGTTACATATAATATCTGTTCTAACTTTCTCAACCTATTGAAGCCCAACGAGTCAAAAGGCTCTTATTTAATAAACCTTAACTTAGTTGTTTTTTTTTTTTTTTTTTTTTTTTTTTTTTTTTTTTTTAGTTATTAGGGAGTTTGGGAAAGATTAACCCAACATGTATATGTATTGTTTTAGTTTTTAGCAGGAGCAAATTGCAAAGTTATTAAATAATATTTTTGATGTTTTCATTAAATATAAAATGTTAAAATGCAAATTTCTTAAAATTTTGTCGAATTTGCCAAATAATCAAATTACAACAACAACAACAACAACAACAGCAACAACAACAACAACAACAATAATAATAATAATAATAATAATAATCCAAACAAAATTATATACAAAATAAAATTAAAATTAACAAAAAAATAATAATAATAATAAGACAAAGGGGAGCCACGAGCTCCCTTTGTAAATGATATGAGATTATTTTGATCCCACATTGAAAATGTTTGAAAAGATGAGCTCTTGAGCTCCTCTATATAAGAGGTACAAACATAATTGTTTATCCATCAATGTTGCAATTATTGAGAAGTCAAAAGGTTCTTATTTAAGAAATCTTAGTTTTGTCTTCTTATTTTAGTTGTTATTTATTTATTCATTATTTATTATTTATTTATTATTAGAAGGTTGTAAGTTCAAGCCTCAATGGAGGCGTTATTAGCTCGTTGTGTTTCAGTAGGTTGAGAAAGTATATGAACAGATACTACAATGTAATAGAGCTAGTAGCATTCAAAAAAAAAAAAAAATTAAAAATGAATCGAAAATATTTCATTAATAATATTCTACATCATCAAATTAAAATGTAACGGATCACTACATCTATATTCTAATTGACTAATTGACTGAAAATATAAAAAAATAATTGACTGAAAATGAATCTAATATTACTAATTGACTAAAAATATAAAAGGAAATGAATATTAATAATTGACCGCAAATAAAAAATGATCCATAATTGACTAAAATTAAAAAAAAAAATGTCAGATCATTGCATTTTAATTAAAAATGGAATGAAAATTAAAAATTAGAGAAAAATATTTCAATAATAATATTCTACATTATCAATAGTAAATGCATATTTTAAACAATAGTAAAGGTAAATTAAAAATGGAACGGAAATATTTCAATAATAATATCTACATCATCAATTAAAAATGGAACGAAAATTAGGTAAAAATATTACTGCATTTGATATTCTAATTGACTAATTGACTGAAAATAAAAAAGAATTATTGACTGAAAATGAATCTGATATCACCAATTGACTGAAAATATTAAAATATAACTAATTGAGTAATATTCTACCATTATATATTTTAACCCAAGTAACCCGTCCGGATGGATTGAAGGTGTTAGCTCTAGCCGAAGATGAACAAGATTGTGTTGTCACTACCAATGTCGTCTACAAAGAGGTTTCAATAATGTGTAAATATAATCGGTGATATTAAGTTTTTTTTTTTTAAATGAAAAATTTGCTATATATCTAGACAAAAAAAAAAAAAAAAAAAAAAATCTTTCATACAAATGAATAAGGATACCAATTCATTTCTATAACTGAGTTGTTAGAGAACGAGCACATTTGCCTAATTTATGAAAATATTAAATAATAATAAATAAAATCTTCAAAGTTATAGCACTGTATGCGTACATCTAGACATTAGCCATTAATTTGAGCAATTATTTGCACAAATTCAAGCAATGATAACATCAAAATATACAAACGATCCAAACAATATCTTTAATTGCACTATATAATATTTGATGTTCTAATTTAAATAATTATATATCGATTCATATATTTTAAATATATTACAACACATCCATTCCGTGCATCGCACGGGTGCAAATACTAGTAATTAAGTAATAAATATATTTAGGAAAGTAGCCATATTTTGTTAATTAAAAATAAAAGAATTTTTTTAAAAATACAAATCTTAAATATTTTGCAAAAAAAAATCAGTTAATATTGATTTTATTTTTTTAATGATGTGTCATCTCCTTGTTCATCCCTGATGTATAATATCTATACACTGACAAATGCATCAAATATTAATCCTTATTTAGTTATTTTTAATAGTAGTCAATATTTTTTAAAAGTGTACTTACAACTTGTTAGTTAGGTTTGAATTTTTCTTGACATCCCTAATTTTCCTTCCACACTAACGCCCCACCCAAGTACACAGGACGCGACATAAATCTGCAGAGTATATATACGCGAAATATATTAGGCAAGATCAAAGTTTAGTACTGTTGATAACGTAGCTATCATTTTCCCAATCTGCGTCAGCGCATGATATAGTTTGCATTAAGCACACCACGGGTGGGGCTGGACCGACTATGCAGATTTCGCAGTGTCTCACTATCTTGCGTAGTTGCGTAAGACGGTGAAAAATCGGTATTTTAAATCACGGGTTTGGACTATTCTCTATCGCCACGCAGCAGATAATTGACCTCCACCCAGCAAGAATCAGCTTAGTTTCTTCTCCAGAAGGTTTGGGTGTAATCTTCATTCTGGAAAAAAACAAAACAAAATGGGTTCTTTGAAGCGCGACGGTGAAGTGGAGACCATTGCGGGTGAATCCAAGGAAGCAATCCTATACGTCAATGGGATCCGGAGGGTACTGCCTGATGGTTTGGCCCACTTGACACTTCTTGAATATCTAAGAGGTTAGCTTATACTCCGTAGCTTCTTATTCCTGTTCTTATATATTTATAATGATTATGCCTGGGTAGTGTTTGAGAAGTGTGAAATCAAAATCTGAAATTTAATTCAGATTCCGTCTGTCTGTCTTTTATGCAGCCTGGGTACTTTTTATTTTCTTTATTTTTGTAGTTTTTTTTTTTAATGAGTTTGAAGTTAAGATGGTTTAAATTGGTTATTTTTTGGAAAAAGGGAAGGCAACAGAAAGGGGAATAGATGAGCAAAGGTGGTTAAGATTGATGCTTGGCACTTACTGTTTTTATTTGATAGACTCATTTGGGTCGTGAATAATAACCCCAAGTTACTTATGAAGTATTATCTTAAATAAGCTAAAAAGTGCTGGACAGTCTATAATCAATGATCTTTGCAAGCATCAAGCATGTAGTGCAATCTCAGTAATCTAATTAAAGGTATAGAACTGGTCAGCTGGAGAAGCAGCTCAAAGAAAGGATCTTGAAAGTAGGAGGGGGATTTCTTAGGGAACAGTAACAGTAGAAACAGGGAGTTGAAATGGTGTTGTCTGATTTCTTCTCTACTTGTCTGTGTCAGTGCAGATGTTGGTCTGACTGGGACAAAGCTAGGTTGTGGCGAAGGTGGTTGTGGGGCATGCACGGTCATGGTCTCTTATTTTGATCACGATTCAAAGAAAAGCATGTGAGTCTCTAGTCTTTTCTGTGTCTTCCATGTTTCTCTCTCAGAAATTTTCTATTTGCGTGTTTGTATGAACTCCTAGGTGGGTTCTTATTAGTTCTGGGATGTATATTATTTATTCAGATGAGTTCTTCTTTAGCCATTGAGCCATTATTGTCTTATGGTCTTACATGTTGCCTTATTCACCTGTACTGTGCAACTTGAAAATTCTTGCATTTTCCTCAATTAACTGCTCACGCATACCATCACATGCTATGCCCTTTTCTAAGGTGGTTCTATTGGTAAGACAGAATAGTAAAGCCAAAAAAAAAAAAAAAAGGCTATTTAGCAACTAAGTCATAATCCAAACATAGAACCAAGTTTTGGAATGGTGGCTTTAATATCTATTTTGGAAATCATTTTTTCACTTTTCTTACTATTGTTTTTGTACCCTAGTAAAGAGCTTTGCACATCATGCTTGCTTTATTGCATGTTGCTTAATTAAGTTTAAATTTCTAAAATAAAAAATGGCTACAAGTGGATGTTTGTTTGTTTGTTTTTTTTTTTTTTTTTTGTGTGTGTTGTTATAATCTCTCTCCCCATATTAACCCTCTCTTCTTTATATGAGCCCATTTTAGGCATCATGCTATTAATGCATGCTTGGCTCCTCTATATTCTGTAGAAGGGATGCATGTCATTACAGTGGAAGGAGTTGGGAATCTTAGACATGGTTTGCATCCGATCCAGGTATATCTATTTATATTTATATCCTGATCCTTTTAAGATCCTTTCTAGCAATTCTGTTCTCTTTCTTCCATAAATATTAAGATAATTATAACAGAAATCCTCTTGAAGATGGTAGGCTCTAATTTTGAATGATAATTTCTAATGTGTCCACTAAATTCTTTAGGAATCATTAGCCCGAGCTCATGGCTCGCAATGTGGCTTCTGTACTCCTGGTTTTGTTATGTCCATGTATGCATTGCTAAGATCATCTCAAGAACCACCTACTGAAGAGCAAATTGAAGAAAGTCTTGCAGGAAATTTATGTCGATGCACTGGTTATAGACCAATTATGGATGCATTTCGAGTATTTTCTAAAACTAATGATGCCTTGTACACTAGTGGATCATCAGAAGGGAATGCTGGATTTCTTTGTCCTTCAACCGGTAAGCCATGTTCATGTGGTTTGAAAGATGGAAGCAACGAACAGAGCACTAAATCTCATGTAAATTATGGTGGTTGCTGGAGGCCAAAATCATATAGTGAAATTGACGGAACTGCATACACGAAGAAAGAGCTCATTTTCCCTCCTGAACTTCTGTTGAGAAAAATGACATATTTGAGTTTGAGTGGATCAAATGGATTAAAATGGTATAGACCCTTGAAACTTCAAGAAGTCTTAGATCTTAAAGCAAGGTACCCAGCTGCAAAGTTAGTAGTCGGTAATTCAGAGGTTGGGATTGAAATGAGACTTAAAAGAATACAGTATCCTGTGTTGATCTCTGTTGCACACATTCCTGAACTGAATCAGTTAACCATTGAAAAAGATGGTTTAATAATAGGTGCTGCTGTTAAACTTACACAGCTTGTTAAAGTACTAAAAAAAGTATCTAATGAGCGAGATCCATATGAAACATCTTCATGTAGAGCTCTTATTGAGCAGATAAAGTGGTTTGCTGGAACACAAATACGAAATGTTGCATCAGTTGGTGGGAACATCTGTACTGCCAGTCCAATATCAGACTTAAATCCTCTTTGGATGGCTGCTGGAGCAAAATTTCAAATCATTGATTGTAAAGGAAATATCAGGAGGACTATGGCTGAAAATTTCTTCCTGGGCTATCGCAAAGTGGATCTGGCAAGTAATGAAATTTTGCTATCTGTGTTTTTACCTTGGAATAGACCATTTGAATTTGTGAAAGAATTCAAGCAAGCTCACAGGAGGGATGATGATATTGCAATTGTCAATGCGGGGATGCGTGTTTTCCTTGAAAAAAAGAATAAAAATTGGGTTGTTTCAGATGCATCAATTGTGTTTGGTGGGGTTGCTCCTCTTTCATTGGCTGCATCTAAAACAAGAGAATTTTTAATTGGGAAAAGTTGGAATAAAGAGTTATTGCAGGGTGCTTTGGAGCCCTTGAAGGAGGAAATTGTGCTGATGGAAAATGCACCTGGTGGAATGGTTGAATTTCGAAAATCATTAACCCTTAGTTTCTTCTTCAAATTTTTCTTGTGGGTTTGTCATCAAATGAGTGGAGAAATCGTTGAGAGGGTGCAATCATCTTATTTGTCAGCTATAGAACCATTTAACAGACCATCCTTAAGTGCAAGTCAGGATTTTGAGATTAGGAAGCATGGGACTTCTGTAGGCTCTTCTGAAGTTCATCTTTCATCAAGGCTTCAGGTTCGAACTCTTTTGAATGAAAGATATCAATCTGATTAGTATCTTGTATTTGTGTCTATAGTATTCAGTTTTGAATTCAATGACCAAATTTAATGCACATGCAATCATGATAATGTACATGTATAAATGGAGCAAGAGCTTTACAATGGCATGCACTGACCATTGATTGGGAGATTACAATTAAAGTGACTCATTTGCACTTGTACTATGAGCTTTATGGTTGTTGCTATTGATGCATGCTTATCTGAATTGGTGGAATGGGAAGAGTGAAAGCTCCTTGTTTATACTGAACTCCTTGTTTTGTTTGATTTCATGGTTGATCGTATTTTCTATAAAATTTCGAATGACTTAACACAAGTACTAGCTTGAATCTTGCATTTGAGCAATTCATCTAGCTAATGTATCATTGTCAGTGTTGCAAAAATCCCGCCTAGGCGCTGGTTAGCTGCCTAGCATATCACTATAATCGGTGGTCTAGGTGGCCGACTAGGCCACCTAAGCGCCGCCTAGGCACTAATCGACTAAGCCGCCTAGGCACTGACTAGGTCGCCTAGTCGGCCGATCAGCTATTGTTTCCTTCTTTTTTTAAATGGGTTATTTCACTCAAAACCACATCGTTTTGAGTGAAATAACCCTAAATTGTTCATAATCTAGATGTTTTTTAGGTTAATATTTACTCCCTCTGTCCCATTTTATTTGTCCTACTTACTATTTCATTAGTTAAACCAACTCTTTCTTCCTTGTTTATTTTCTTTATGAATTTTTACTTATTTTTAATTTTAATTTTTTGTGTTTGTATTTTTAGTGTAGTTTCTAAATATATAAATTTGGTATATTAATACTAAACTTAATATTATGAAAAATTGAATTAAAAATAACTTCAGTCAAACCTCGTTAACTGAACTACGACACATAAAATGGGACGGAGGTAGTAATATTTTAGTATTAACTATTAAAGTATTAAATAATTTATAATTATCCAGTTTTAAAAAATTTAAAAATTTTAAACAAATTTTTAAAAAATAAAAAATACATGGGCGCCTAGCGATTTTTTCAACCATGATCATTTCATTGATTCTTGGCTGCTAGTGTCCCATGCTTGTGACAGCAAATAATTTGCTACTATGTACCTTTTAAACATGCTATCTTTTGTCTGTTGATGTGTGTGTGAATCTGATATAAGGTGATCTTATTGCTTTTTTGTTCTCATTCTAATTTTAATAGAAGCTTATGCTTTGCAGTACATAAAATGAAATGATTCTTTGCTGTTGAAATCCTGTCTAGAAGCATTTGTTTGTTTTGTAGTCATTTTATCTTCTGCCAGGCTGCCAGCATATTTTTTCCAACACCATTCTATCAATTTTTTTTTCACTACTGAATTAGTTGTTTCTTGAATGCTTTGGAGTATATGAGAAAGCATTTCTAAGCGCACAGATGTCCAGGTAGTTAAAAGGTTTTTTGAGCGTGCTTAAGCCAAATACCAAGTTACCGACTTGTTCAACTTCTTATACCAATTCTCCTTCAATGAATACTTTGTTTCTTCCCTATTAAAGTAGTCTTTGAGTTTTGGTTGGTATGCACACAGGTTTCAGGGGAGGCAGAATATACTGATGACATTCCAATGCCTCCAAATAGTTTACATGCTGCCCTCATATTGAGTAAAAAGCCTCATGCACGGATACTTTCAATAGATGATTCAGAGGCCAAGACCTCACCTGGATTGGCTGGAATATTTTATGCCAAAGATGTTCCAGGTAGCAATATGATTGGACCAGTTATAGAGGATGAGGAACTTTTTGCAGCGGAATATGTTACTTGTGTAGGTCAGGTATGGTTCATGTTGCACTAAGAATGGAAATCCTGAACTTAATTGCAGCAGCGTACATTTAGTGAAGACTATAAAGATTATTATACGGCATTTTTGTGTGTGTGGAATATCAATGAACCTTCCTGTATACTCTTGTCCATTAAGAGAGGTCGGGAGTTTGAACCCCCTCTCGTATGGAAAAATCAATCTGGCCAGCACTTTGCCCCTTAATTGGGCCGGCAGTATGGTACGGGCTTAAAGGTGCCTCCTACAGTTAGGGTCTGCTCAGGACACCTCGTGGTCTGACCAAAAAAAAAATGAATCTTCCTGTATGCACGTGTTTAACTCATAGATTTTCATATATGAAGGCTATTGGAGTGGTTGTTGCTGATACTCATGAAAATGCAAAACATGCTGCTGCAAAGGTTCGTGTGGAGTATGAAGATCTGCCTGCAATTTTATCCATACAGGATGCTGTCCGGGCTAACAGTTTCCATCCAAATACTGAAAGGTGCTTGAGGAAGGGAGATGTTGAACAATGTTTTCAATCAGGTCAATGTGATAAGATTATAGAAGGAGAAGTTCATATTGGTGGTCAGGAACACTTTTACTTGGAGCCTCATGGTACTCTAATATGGACGTTGGACGGGGGCAATGAGGTGCACATGATCTCATCTACGCAGGTGGTTCAACTCTTGTTTTATAAATAAGCACAACTCATATCTAAAATGCAATTTGTGCTTTCCTGTTCTCACATATTATAGTCTACTTGACACTTCATCCTTTTCATCATTCTCTCGATTCCAGGCTCCTCAGAAACATCAGAAGTATGTCTCTCATGTTCTTGGTCTTCCAATGTCTAAAGTGGTTTGTAAGACGAAAAGAATTGGTGGTGGATTTGGAGGCAAGGAGACTAGATCGGCTTTCTTGGCTGCTGCAGCTGCTGTTCCATCATACTTGTTGAATCGTCCAGTAAAAATTATATTGGACCGGGATGTGGACATGATGATAACTGGGCAGAGGCATAGCTTCCTTGGAAAGTATAGGGTACTTGTGTCTGTTCTCAAATCATATCATGTTAATACATCTTTATGGGTCAAAATACCTATGAGCAGTGTTGCAAAAATCGCGCCTAGACGTCGATTAATCGGCGCTTAGGCGCTAGGCGGTCGGCCTCCTAGGCGTTCTAGGCGTCCGCCTAGGCGCTTTAGGCACCCTAGGCGGTCCCCAGCCGCCTAGAGGGCGTCTAGCGATTTTTTCAACATTGCCTATGAGGTCCCTGTATTATAGTATTTTGTTCAATTTAGTCCATGTACTTTAAAAAGTGGTGCAATTAAGGACAATAGTTAACGGTGTCAATATTACCGTTAACTTAGTTTACATGGCAATTGGCACTGACATTATCACTGTCACATCATGATATTTATATTCCAACTCATATATTACTTTATAAATATTTAAAATTAATTATCTTTACCACCAATATATTACATCAATATGTCCAAAATAAATAATTACAAACGTGCTCCTAGCATGCTTGTAATTATTTATTTTGGACATATTAATGTAATATACTAGTGGTAAAAATAATTAATTTTAAATATTTATAAAATAATATACGAGTTGGAATATAAATATCGTGTTGTGGCAGCGTTGATGTCAGCGCCACATAAACTAAGTTAATGTTAATATTAACACCGTTAACTGTTGTCCTTAATTGCACAACTTTTTAAAGTATAGGAACTAAATTGAACCAAAATAAAGGTACAAGGATTAAATTGAATAGAACACTATAGTACAGGGACGTCATAGGTACTTTGCCCCATCTTTATGTAGAAAGACCAACTTAGGGCATAGTGAAATATTTAGACGATATTGATTGATTGAGATAACGTTTCATAGGTAATAACTTCTCTACTTCATTCTCATCTATGCTTATTTGCAGTGTCAAATAATCATAAATACAATTATCACTCTTAAAATTATCAAACATTTCTAAAATTAAATTATGCCATATTTCTAACCTCCTTTTCAAGTTGGGAAGAGAAGAAATGACCTGATCTCCTTCATTTCTTGATTGACTTTATAGTTTGGCATAGTTTCATTGTGATTTTCATCAAACTTCTTCACCTCACGTTGTTTTCTTTGGTAGTCTGATAACAAAGTGATATGTATGTAGGTTGGTTTTACAAATGACGGAAAAGTGCTTGCATTGGATCTTGAAATCTACAATAATGCTGGAAATTCACTTGATTTATCATCTGCAATACTTGAACGGGCTATGTTCCATTCAGATAATGTGTATGAGATACCAAATGTTCATCTTTCTGGAAGGGTTTGCTTCACTAATTTTCCTAGTAATACAGCTTTCAGAGGTTTCGGAGGTCCACAGGGTATGCTGATCACTGAAAATTGGATTGGAAGAATTGCCTTGGAGGTTAAGAAAACTCCTGAAGAAATCAGGGTGCGTTGATGTTTGGTCCATGATGACGATTCTCATCCCTTTTTATTAATCTTAGACATGTCCGTCCATACATAAATACCATTTATTCTTTCTTTTCCAGGAGATTAATTTTCTGAGAGAAGGAGCAGTCTTACATTATGGTCAAAAAATCGAAAATTGTACCCTGGAACGCCTCTGGAATGAATTGAAGTTATCGTGTGACTTTTCTAATGCTTGTAAAGAAGTTGAAAAATTCAATCTTGGTAACCGGTGGAAGAAGCGAGGAATTGCCATGATTCCAACAAAATTTGGGATATCTTTCACAACGAAGTTTATGAACCAGGTAACTTTCTAGTTTCTACACATTGATATATAGGTTAACATAGTTATATTAGACTATTAGCCGACGACTAGACAATTTAAGTTAAAGATGTACATGATTGGTTACGTAGGCAGGTGCACTTGTTCAAGTCTACACGGATGGAACAGTATTGGTTACTCATGGGGGTGTGGAGATGGGGCAAGGCTTGCATACAAAAATTGCTCAGATTGCAGCATCTTCCTTTAATATTCCACTCAGCGCCGTTTTTATATCAGAGACTAGTACTGACAAGGTATTATTCCTCGTGTGCTGATTGTGCAGCAAAAGTTTAGTTTGAATGTAGTTCCCTGTGATGTATATTGTTTTTTTTTTTTTTTTTTTTTTTTTTTTCCCCTTAAGCAAGGTTGAAAAAATCGCTAGGGGCCTGGGGACCGCCTAGGGCGCCTAGGTGGCCGACCGCCTAGCTTCTAATCGGCGCCTAGGCGCGATTTTTGCAACACTGCCCTTAAGGGTATAGCTTTAGTCATGCTACTAATGCATTTGGTCTCATATATCCCTCTTTCTCGATCAATCTAGGTTCCCAATGCATCACCAACTGCGGCTTCTGCGAGCTCTGATATGTATGGAGCTGCAGTTTTAGATGCCTGTGAACAAATAAAAGCAAGAATGGAGCCTATTGCATCTAACCGTACTTTCAACTCTTTTGAGGAGGTACATTCAATTCGTTGCCGATATTCAAATGTTGGATTTATCTAATTCTGTTGCCACTAATAAATCTTTTCATATTTCATCTACGTATGTTATTGTTGAACGGGAAATTCTAAATGACCTATAAAGAGTATACCTGTGTGTGTCTCGCTCTACATATTGTGGAAGGAAGATAAACAAATATCACATTCTGAAATTATTGGTATTGGGAGGCATATAGAACACCGAACTCAGATGAATATAACGCAAAAAAAGTTGCTAACCATTCATTATCTCTGTTAAGAGTCCCACATTGATAAAATAAGAGAGAACATATGGGTTTATAAGGCCATGGGTTAGACTAGCTAATTGTTTGGATTCAATCTTTTAGTGTGGTTTGGCCCATGTGCATTATAGCCCAGTTGAGTGACAGGATCCTAGCCCAATCTTTGTTTATAACATATTGCTTCTAATGACAGACCTTTACTTTTGGACATATTATCGTTTTGGTTGCTATTACTGCTTCTAATTCTCATTTGTGTAATAATAAGATTATTGCTTGTTTCGATACTTCTAGCTCGTCATTGCATGCTATCTGAAGAGAATAGACCTCTCCGCTCATGGATTTTCCATCGTTCCTGATATTGGCTTCGATTGGAAAACTGGTCAAGGGACCCCGTTTAGGTACTTCACCTATGGGGCTGCATTTGCTGAAGTTGAAATCGATGCATTAACCGGAGATTTTCACACTAGGAGAGCAGATGTTCTCTTGGACCTCGGCTTTTCTCTTAATCCCGCAATTGATGTTGGACAGGTTCTTTCCAACCCCTTCTGGAAATTGTAATTTACTTATCGGATGGAGTAAATGAATATTATTAACCCTGATATTAGAATTTCAATATGGATGAAATCACGAAATCTTCGACAAAATCTTAGCGAAAGAAGTTTTGTCGCATTGTATTCTTAGTACTCTCTGCAACCACACAGATTGAGGGAGCATTTGTACAAGGCTTGGGTTGGGTAGCTTTGGAAGAGCTGAAATGGGGGGATCCCGCACACAAATGGATTCCGTCTGGATGCCTACTCACATGTGGACCGGGAAACTACAAAATTCCTTCCGTGAATGATGTCCCTTTCAAATTCAACGTTTCGCTTCTAAAAGTAAGTTTCCCACTTTCTATTGTTGACAGTTTGACACCGACATCCAGGTACCTCGGTGCTTATATTTGTTGAAAACAGTCTGAACTGGAGTCCCACATTGATAAAATAAGGGAGAAGATATGAGTTTATAAGGCCATGGGTTAGACTAGCTAATTGGTTGGATTCAATCTTTTAGTGTGGTTAGCACAGAGCTATGAGCTGGTTATGGGTATTGGTGGCGTTCAGAACTCTTGTTTCGTGCTTGCCGGGCCACGGAATGCTGTGGGGATTCCCTACTTAAAACCGTGTTTTTAAAATGTTGTTGGCAGGGTGCTCCAAATCCGAAGGCCATCCATTCCTCCAAAGCTGTAGGGGAGCCGCCCTTCTTCCTCGCATCGTCTGTATTTTTCGCGATCAAAGATGCCATTGCATCCGCACGAGCTGACGCCGGCTATAGCGGTTGGTTTCCTCTTGATAATCCGGCTACACCCGAGCGCATACGCATGGCTTGTCTGGACGAGTTTACGAAAGCGTTCATCGACGCTGATTATAGGCCCAAGCTTAGTGTGTAAGTCTATTTTTAGGAAAATATAGGGCTCATATTTCAGAATTATTGACAATAATAAAGGCTGTGTTGCCCAACAGATGCATTAGTCTACAATTATCTCACTTCTGATATGCTACACTGAACTTGTCATGGAGGAAGGTTTGTAATATTTGAATGCAAAATGTAGCTTCTTTAGACTTCTGAGACACAACAATCTCAAGACAACAAAGTCATAGCTTCTCTTCCAAAGAGAAAATTTCAATTTTGGTCACACGACTATAGGGGCCTTGTTAATTTCAGCACCTAACTTTCAAAAGTATCAATTTAGTACCTTGAGTATGTAATATTTCTCAATTTTAGTCATTCTGACCAATTTACTGATCAAATTCCACCGGAAAAATTAATAGGCACAAAACTGATGGGCAAATAAGTCTTTTCCTGAGCACAAAACTTGTGTACAGCCGGAAAACCATTTGCGGTTGGAGTGGCGACGACTAAACTACGGACAAAATCGGTATACAAGTGAGCGGAAATTGAGCAAGCTTCGGCGGTCCAAAGAACGATCCAAGGAACGCCGCCTCTTTCCGCCGCCAAGTTACCGCCGAACCACAGAAACGCATCCGTCAAGAAACACCCAAATTTGGTCCCTGTTTCCGCCTCCGCTTCCGCTATGGCCTTCACGTAATTACCCGGCATCGCCATGATGAACTCCTCGTGGGTGACCAATGCCTCGCCTGCCACAGTCCCATCCCACACGTCGTACGCCTTCACGTTCCCGGCGCCCGGGTTCCGCCCTCTGAATAGACCGGAGTTTGAGTCGTGATTGTTGAAGAAAGAAAACCGTGCGCTTGGAAAGGCGGCGGAGAGCTGCTCCACGAGGCTCAGTAGAGGGGCCGCGTGGGTGGCGAACGGGAAGGCTAGCACCGCTACATGGCACTCTGAACTGCCCATTTTTTTCCGGCGAGAAATGGTTTTCCGGCTGTACACAAGTTTTGTGCTCAGGAAAAGACTTATTTGCCCCTCAGTTTTGTGCCTATTAATTTTTCCGGTGGAATTTGATCAGTAAATTGGCCGGAATGACTAAAATTGAGAAAAATTACATACTCAAGGTACTAAATTGATACTTTTGAAAGTTAGGTGCTGAAATTAACAAAGCCCCTATAGTCGTGTGACCAAAATTGAAATTTTCTCTCTTCCAAATAATTATGTTATAGAGGACAACTCTATGCTATAGAGGATAACCAGCCGAGTAGTTTGACACGGATTAACTATAAAGTCTTTTTGGGAGTTGTTTATTGACTTTCGATAAATTATATTAAGTATATATTTGAAATTAACATAATATATGCATCTTTAGTTGATAGATTATGTACATATTATTCATATTATATTCCTTGTATTATGTAAATAAACTGAATCTACATAATATATTAATTGTAACAAGTACACAAGGTGGATCTTGGTTCAGAGTATAACAATTGTTGACTTTTTTGGTTGGTTATTTTGGTTTGGATCAATTAATTTTGGACAATTGCAATTACAATCAGTCGTTATATTGTGCACCCCGTCCTACCCGAAACGACGTCATTTTGATGTACTGTAAAAAAAAAAAAAAAAAAAAAAAAAAAAGTCATATGTTTCGAATACATATAAACTCATAACAGAATACACAAAAATTCATAACTGAATACACATAATCTAACATAATACATAATACACAGAAACTCGTAACTAAATATACAGAAACTCTTACTGAATACACAGAAACTCTTAATTGAATACACAGAAACTCTTAACTGAATACACAACAATTCTTAATTGAATACACAGAAACTCTTAACTGAATATACATAAACTTTTAACTGAATACACAAAAACTCATAACACAATACACAGAAACTTTTACCTGAATACACATAATATATAGGGTTTTGACGAACGGAGTGACGTCAGCAATTGAAATGCACGCGTTTTGTGTCATGGCGCACATTGCTATGTGCACCGTAGTGCACAATATAAATTGCCAATTAGAATGGTTATACAATGGACCATGTTCGTCAAATGTAAATTGTAGTAGAGTTAAAATGATATTTAGTGTTGTTATAATGAAATTAGTGTGTGGAGAAAATGAAACTAAAAAAAGAGCTATTCAACAACGTATGTTATCAAATTAAACTGTAGTATAATTAAAATGATACGTTAGTGTTGTTATAATGATGATATATAATGTCAAATAAACCTTGAGTGTAATTAAAATAATACTTTAATATTAGTATAATTAAACTAGTGTGTGTGGAAAATGAAACTACAAAATAAAGCTCATGCAATAACGTATATTGTCAATGAACTGTAGTAGAATTACAAATTTAAAATAATGCTTTGATATTGCAATAATGAAACTAGTGTATGTGTGAAAAATGAAACTGAAAAATAAAGCAATATTGTCAAATGAAACTAAAGTGTAATTGTCCATAGTAAATGATAAAATTAAAATTGCAGATTAAATTTTAATATTTTAATTTATTCAGATTTTTTAACAAATAAAAATTTTAAATTTATATTAAAATACACCTGACTTAATTTATTCAAATAAAATAAATAAACATTAGTAATGCATAAATAAAACTTTATTAATGTTAATATTTTTTGATAAACTAATAAGTAATGTGCATTTTAATACAAAATATAAAAATATCAATTATTAAAATATTATAGATCATAATACATATTTATCGTTGTTGGTCTCGGTGAGGGTTAAGTACAAGTCTAAGGGATGAACAGACTTGTAGGATTTTTGAAAATTTTGGCGAATAGTTAAGGCTACCCAAGAGGTAACTTTAACTACTCGATCAGAGTTTGTATACGCAGCGAAAAATTATTTGCTAACCCTATTTGTTTGTGAAATTCTTTGCACGTTAGATTTGCTTGTCAAATTCTTAGGTTTGGTTGTTTATGCAAATGTAAAGTAAGTATATATATATATATATATATATATATATATATATATATATATAATCCAGAAGTTCACCCCTTAACCACCAAGCAGGTAGTGAACTTCACAACACAGGTTTTTCAACTCACAACAGAATAGAGAAAATAGGTTTGAAGAAATAAAGTTTCTTCTTCTCCAACTAAGAGATCTTGACTTATTGAATCTGGATTTTTGACGTTTGAAGCAGCTCAAATCTTTTGAAAATTTGGATATGATCTTTTAAGCTTTTAGTCTCTCTTTCTATTTGTCACACTAGTCGCAAAACTAGCTAAAACTTTAGAAAGCTTTTTCGCACTTAGAATTTTCAATTGACCGGCCCCTTCTTCAGCTAAGGAAGAGGGTATTTATAGGCACTTTGGAAAATAGTTCTATGGGAGGAAATACTATTTTCAATACCTTAGTGACCAGCGGGTAGAGATTGACGGGTAATCCGAAAGTTAGGTGAGTGTGTCAGATTTACAGCTGTTGAAAACCTTAATTTGCACTGAATATTGCTTTTTGTTCTACACAAAAGGTCGTGCATTTAATGGAAAATCGACATTGGGATATGTTCATAGGACTCTTATTTCTTCGGACATATTTACTCAACCTTTTAAGGTTTTAGACTGTACAACTCAGAGAATGTCTCGAGAAGTCCTATCGAGTGGTTACCTAGGCAAGGTTGCAAAACACGATAGGCGCCCCCTAGGCGCCGATTTTTTTATTTATTTTCTTAAATAAAAAAAATTAAAATTAAAAATTATGAAATTCACTAATAAAACATAAGGTTCCTCTAGTTTTTTCTTACAAATTATTTACATAAGTGGTTGTAAAATCGTTTTGAATATTGTTGAAACCATCTAAATACATTAAAAAAAATTAAGAGCAAAAGAAGCATTTTTGGGAGAAATTAGAGGGCCAAACCGCCTTCGGCTATTTGCGGTGTATAGATCTCGAAAAAATACGTGATTTGAAAAAAAAAATTGTCCGAAACGAACAACCGAGTCAAAAATTATGCCTTCCCAAACTTTTAACACTTTAAAACGCAAAAAAAAAAAAAAAAAAAAAATATATATATATATATATATAAGGCCGAACCGGCCAGCTAGGCGATTTAGGCAGCCGCTTAGACCGCCTAGCCGGCTGGCCGCGGAGGAGGCCGATTCCGGCCTTCCTCGCGGCGGCCGCCTAGCGCCTAGGCGCCGATTAATCAACGTCTTGGCGCAATTTTTGCAACCATGTACCTAGGTTAACGTCTCGAGGCTTGGGTCATCTCGGATACGAGTAGTTGACTATACCACTCACCCCTTAACTCATCAAAAGGTAGGTCATTCTTGTCTTTGACCTTTGCTACCCTTCGGTTACGAATGGTTGACTTTACCATTCGATTTTGTATACAAGGTTACTACTCGAGGTACCATTCGCTTAGATTCAAATGTTGAGCAGAAATATCCTAAGCCTATAATATAAAACAATTTGGGGGTTCTAAACTCGTATTGTTTGATATCATCAAAATATAAGTACGAATGTTCCTAACAATCGTTATTATTTATTTTTTATTAATATAAATTTAAAAATTTTTACTTTATCAATTTGTTCTAAATTTTATGAAAACTTTTATTACAACTAAAATTTTCTACAAACCTCATTTTATAATGGTACTTAATCATTATTTACAACAAATTTACATGATAAGATAGTGGTAAAGTGATAGTGAATGTCTTCTTTATATAGAAGAGGATTAGGTGTTCAAATCTCAATATGAGCATATATTTATGTATTTATTTTGGACATATTAGTGGTAAAAATAATTAATTTTAAATATTTATAAAATAATATATGAGTTCGCAAGTAAGTATGATGATGTGACAGAGCTGATGTCAGCGTCACATAAGCTATTGTAAATCATTTATTTTTTAAAAGCCAAAACTTAACTAGATAAAAAGGGCTAATACAATCCGGCGGGTTATTAACCCAAGTGAGAGAATCAGATTGAGAGCCCGCCGCCCTAGCTAACGCATGGACTGCTTGGTTGGCCGACCTCCTAATCGCAAATTATGCCATGGAATCGTGTTCACCGAGAATGGTGAACACAAGGCAAAACGACGTCGTTTTTAGGCAAAAAAAAAAAAATCACGAATGTAGAGTTAACGGCGCGCGTTTGATCAAATTATGAATTTTCTGTTATGAGATTATGAATGAATTTTATAAAAATTCATAATCTCATAACAGAAAATTCATAATCGCATAATAGAAAATTCATAATCTCACAACTGAAAATTCATAATCTCATAACAGAAAATTCATAATCTTATAACAGAAAATTCATAATCTCATGGTTCCAAAGTGAATGTGTAGGCATGGTTCCAAAGTGAATGTGCAGGCATGGATTCATAATTTATGAATGTCCGTGATTTCGGACAGGAATATGTAGACATGGTTCCAAAGTGAATGTGCAGGCATGAATTCATAATTTATGAATGTCCGAAATTATGAATGTAATGAAAATTCATAATCTCATAACAGAAAATTCATAATCGCATAACAGAAAATTCATAATCTCATAACTGAAAATTCATAATCTCATAACAGAAAATTCATAATCTCATAACAGAAAATTCATAATCTTATAACAGAAAATTCATAATCTCATGGTTCCAAAGTGAATGTGTAGGCATGGTTCAAAAGTGAATGTGCATGCATGGATTCATAATTTATGAATGTCCGTGATTTCGGACGGGAATGTGTATGCATGGTTCCAAAGTGAATGTGCAGGCATGAATTCATAATTTATGAATGTCCGAAATCTTTGTTCACCTCAAATTAAAGTGAAACCGCAAAATGTGAAAATAAAGAAGAAAAGTCACGCAATTAAAAAAAAAAAAAAAAGATAACGGTGTACTAACACCGTTGGTGGTGAACACGGTTCCATGGCATAACGTCCCCCTCCTAATAAAACAATAGTTATGCTGTGGAACCGTGTTCACCATGCGCATACCAAACAATAGTTATGCTGTGGAACCGTGTTCACCATGCGCATACCAAACAATAGTTATGCTGTGGAACCGTGTTCACCATGCGCATGGTGAACACGGGATAGATCCATCATTTCTATACTGTAGATTCATAATTTCTATACCGTACTGTAGATTCATAATTTCTACAGCATAGAAATTATGGATCTACAACATAGAAATTATGGATCTCCATAATTTCTATACTGTAGATTCATAACATCTATATTGTAAATTCATAATTTCTATATTGTAGATTCATAATTTTTACAACATAGAAATTATGCATCTACCCCTGTGTTCACCATACTCATGGTGAACACGTTTCTACAGCATAATTTGCGTTAATAAAAGCAATAGATACTAGATCAAAGTCTAACATAAGACTAGTGCATGCATGGATTATATGGTTCATATGTGATCTATCTTTACTAAAATCTGTTAGGCTCTTCACCACTGATAGGCAATCTGATTCAAGCCAAACTCGCCTAATTCCTCTTTCTTTTAGCCATGTTAATGCTTCCTTGAATCCCAATGCCTCTGCCATCAGAGCTGATTGTGGGCATAGTAGGTTACCATTCGTAACTGCTAGGAAGGATCCTTAGGTGAAAACAAGATTGCTCCATATGTAAAACTTTTATTTTAAATATACTACAAATTTATTATTATTATTATTTTTGAAATAACTACAAATTTATTTTTAATGTGTTACATGTTCATTTTAACATATAATATATAAAAAATAAATTTATATATATATATATATATATATATATATATATATATATATATATATATATATATATTAATATATATTATAATAATAATGAATATATTAAAAATAAACTTATAGTATATTAAAAATAAGAATGAGATCCACGGTAATTTATATCGTGGACCAGGGTCTACAGTGCACTGTGGACCCTAGTTCAATACACAGAATTTTACTTTTTAAGGTACAGAATTCATGTTCATGATGCACAAAATTCATGTTCATAATACACATACACATAAACATGATATAATGAACATGAATTATGTGTATTATGAACATAAGTTCTGTGTATTATGTTAAGTGTTTATGTGTCCTCAACTATATAATGTACAGAATTCATGTTCATTATATCGTGTTTATGTGTAAGTGTATTATAAACATGAATTCTGTATATTGAATCAGGGTCCACAATGCACTGTGAATCATGGTCCACGATATAACGATTGGAGATCCACATGACAAGATGACAATATAAAGCAAATTATATTGGAAAATGTTTAGGGCTTGTTGTTTGGAAAAGCAGGCCATATCAGCCAAGATCCATATAACAAGGCCCAACTAACTCGTGCAAAGGAATTTGGCGCCGAATGTACCCGTTCTTTCCCGCCAAAAAGCCACACTAAAGTTCACCCCACCCCGAGCTCACTAGCCCTAGGCATAATCTCACTCTCTCTGGTTGACCGACGGAAGAGTTACGTCCGATCATGGCTTCCGATTCGTCTCCGGCCAACACTCACGGCGGTAAGAAAGGCCGAGCATTAGCCTTGGAAATCTTTTCTTCAACTATTTCAGTGTTATGAAATGCTTTTTGCAAATGCATTTAGTTTAATTTTTACCTTGAGTTGTTGAATGATAATTGTAAATTACAGATCCATCTTCGCCTTACGACTCGCTTTCGAGCCCAATCGCAAACACGTTCTCATCTCCCGCCGACTCCGGTCGGCGGAAACGCGGGCGTCGCTCTTCCTCCGCTGCAACGTCGCCGGCCCCTGCTAACCCTCGCTTTACCACTCCGGACGCAACGCCTACTCCGTCCAGTAGGAATCCTCGAAGACGCGGCGGAAGTAGGTTTACTTCCGCCGCTGCTGCGGCCACGCCTTCCTCCACCGATGATGCACCGCAGTCCTCGATGGGCGGTGGCGGGGGTGATTCCTCTGCGCCTTCGCCCTCCTCGGACGGCGGAGATGACGCCCCACCAACGTATGTCTGGGGCACAAACATTGTTGTTCAGGATGTGAATGCTGCAATTCTGAGGTTTCTTAGGCATTTCCGTGAAGATTCTTCTCAGGTTGAAGGGAAATACATGATATCCATTCACCACGTGATTGAAATGGAAGGTGATTCACTTGATGTGGATGCAAATGATGTGTTTAACTATGACAGTGATTTGTACAACAAAATGGTTAGATATCCACTTGAGGTCCTAGCCATTTTTGACATTGTTTTGATGGACATGGTAAGCAGAATCAACCCGTTGTTTGAAAAGCACATACAAGCTCGAATTTTTAATCTTAAAACGTCCACTCCCATGAGAAATCTCAATCCATCTGGTTAGTCACACCTTCTGTTACATTCTATCTGAAAAATTTCCATTTGCTTCTGTTTAACATTGTGCTTTTAAAACTAAATTTGCCTCTGTTTCTGTTCCTAGACATTGAGAAGATGGTTTCAGTTAAGGGAATGATAATTCGTTGTAGTTCAATCATACCTGAGATCCGAGAAGCAATATTTAGGTGCCTTGTCTGTGGATATTATTCTGACCCTATTGTTGTTGATAGAGGTTAGCCACTGTAGTACTATATATGTTAATGTAGGCTGTTTGAAATTGATTTGTAATGCTAACTTCAACCTGTGTTGTCAGGCAGAATTAGTGAGCCCACACTCTGTGGGAAGCAAGAATGTCTTGCCAGAAACTCAATGATTCTGGTTCACAATAGGTGCAGGTAATGAATACATCAGTGGTACTTTTGACTGTGCGATTGATTTAAGTAGGTGGTGAACACTAGGGAGCATGAAATGCACACAATTAGTTCCGAACTGCCTGGGCTTTTCATTTACTGACTCTGTTGCACCTTAGGTTTGTTGATAAGCAAATAGTGAGACTCCAAGAAACGCCAGATGATATTCCTGATGGAGGAACGCCTCACACAGTGAGCTTGTTGGTGCATGACAAATTAGTGGATGCTGGGAAACCAGGTGACAGAGTTGAGGTGAGTATCAACTAGGTTGCATGTTCCTTGCTGAAACTGTAATTAGTGCTGTGTTCATTCTGTTTCTCTTTATTGTTTGTGATCTAAGATGCTACATTTACTTCTAGGTCACTGGCATTTACCGGGCTATGAGTGTTAGAATTGGGTCTACGCAAAGGACTGTTAAATCACTTTTCAAGGCAAGCTATGATAATTCTTGCAGCTATTTTAAATGCTTTAATGTTTTTGAGCTGAAGCTTTCTTATCACTGTTGTGAAATCTGATGGGAGAAATATATGCTAGCATTTGAAACTAAAAGTTGTTTCTTTTGGTATCAGACTTACATTGATTGTCTCCATTTGAAGAAGACTGATCGTTCAAGAATGCATCTAGAGGATCCAATGGAAGTCGAAAATGGCATTTGTAGGAATGAGAATGAGCCTTCTCTTGACTCTGCGGATAAGGTGACTTAAATGCACTTCCTCTCTAATGAAGTATGATACCCCACTTCCTTGCTTATAATGTGAGCTCTTAATATCAGGTGGAGCAGTTAAAGGAATTGTCTAAGCAGCCTGATATATATGAAAGGTTGACCAGATCCCTGGCACCAAATATATGGGAGTTGGATGATGTCAAGAAAGGTCTTCTTTGCCAGGTATTGTACACTCCATAGAATTGATTTATTTTTGTCCCAATATAGTAAAACGTCAGATCAATGACTATTAATTTATCAAAATCTACAAAAAGTTGATGCTAACATTATATATGTGGCTTCATTTAGCTTTTTGGTGGCAATGCATTGAAATTGCCATCTGGTGCAAGCTTCAGAGGAGATATTAATATCCTTCTTGTTGGTGATCCTGGGACTAGTAAATCCCAGCTCCTGCAATACATTCACAAACTTTCACCTCGTGGTATTTACACAAGTGGACGAGGAAGTTCTGCTGTTGGGTTGACTGCCTATGTTGCCAAAGATCCTGAGACTGGAGAAACTGTAAGTCATAAAGATAGTAGTTTCCTGTCATCTCTTTTTTCAATAAATTAGCTCTGTCCCTTCTGTTCAACCTTGGATACATGGATTTGACTTGGAGCATAACTTTCTAGGTTCTGGAGAGTGGAGCCCTGGTTCTAAGTGACAGAGGAATATGCTGTATTGATGAATTTGACAAGATGTCTGATAATGCAAGGAGCATGTTGCATGAAGTGAGACTCTAACCAGTTCTTTTGATTCAGGAAACAAATGTCAGGAATTGCCAATTCTTGTTATGGAGTGAAATTTACTTTTTTTTTTTTTTTTTTTTTTTTGGTGGGTGTTTCCCATTATCCCTCAGGTCATGGAGCAGCAGACTGTTTCAATAGCGAAGGCAGGGATTATTGCTTCACTTAATGCAAGAACTTCTGTACTAGCTTGTGCAAATCCAATTGGCTCACGCTACAATCCTCGTCTCTCTGTTATTGATAACATCCATCTCCCCCCCACCCTATTGTCCAGGTACAATTCTGAATATGTTATCTTAGCTTGGTTCTATTGTATTTCCAATGATTTCACAGTCCGCATAGAAATAATCTTATGTCATTTGTTTATACTTGTGTGCCCTTGCAATGCTGCAACTGTGTTTATTTGTTTATTCATTTTCAAAATTTTGTTGACGTTTTATACTCAATATACAAGTCTCATTTTACTCCACCTGTTCATTTCAGATTTGATTTAATTTATTTAATGCTGGACAAGGCAGATGAGCAGACAGACAGGCGTTTAGCAAAGCATATAGTTGCCTTACACTTCGAAAATCCTGAGGTTTGATAGTTTTTCAGTTGTGTGGTTTTATAAGGAATGTATGGGGATATCAGTAGTTCATTTGCTGACTTTTATCTTTCACAGAATTTGATGCAAGAATTTATAGATCTTCCAACATTAACTGCTTATGTGAGTTATGCACGAAAGCATATACACCCACAGTTGTCTGATGAAGCAGCTGAAGAGTTGACAAGAGGATATGTCGAGATGAGAAGAAGAGGAAACTTCCCAGGCAGTAGCAAGAAGGTAGAAAAAATTATGTGAACATTCACAATTTCCTTGTGCTTTTATGTATGGAAATTGAAAATTATTTCCTTTTACATGCTGGAGATTTTATCTAATCCTTTGGATCCTACAGGTCATTACAGCCACACCCAGGCAAATTGAGAGTCTAATACGCCTCAGTGAAGCTCTTGCTCGTATACGATTCTCAGTATGGGTCAGTACACTTTCCCTTAGTGCCCAGCTTCTGGTGTAAAATTCTATGACTGATTACTATCCTCAATAATGCAGGTTGAAAAGCAAGATGTTGTGGAGGCCTTTCGGCTTCTAGAAGTTGCATTGCAGCAATCTGCAACAGATCATTCCACAGGTAAACTTTTTTATTACTTAACAGGGTACACAGATGCAAGACACAGATAATTAAGTAATGAAGAATCTAATAAACGCATTTCGCTGAGTGCTATTTAACTAAATTGCTACTATATCCTTGAAGAATGATATGAAGTTCTGACAACATTTTCTGGTGATTTGGAATGAATGTTTTATTTAAACAGGAACCATTGATATGGACCTCATCACAACTGGAGTTTCGGCAAGTGAAAGGGTGAGACGGGAGAACTTGGTTTCAGCCACCCGCAATGTAGTCATGGAAAAGATGCAACTAGGAGGACCATCATTTCGGTTGATTGAGGTGGGTAGGACATGGTTTGTTCTTCTAGAAATAGCATTTTAAAATGCAAGAGAATAATGGAAAAGGAAACCAGAAGCTAACATTATGAAATGAATGTGCAGATACTGGAAGAGTTGAAGAAGCAAAGTTCTGACATCCCACCCAACCTCAATGATGTAAATCTCTCTTTCCCATCTGCTGTGTCTGAATGCCTGTTTAGCTAACTGTCTAATATTGTCTGTTTTTGAAATATCAACAGCTGCGGAATGCACTTTCTACTCTTGCAAGTGAAGGATTTGTTCTTGTCCATGGTGATCACGTAAAGAGAATATAATGCTAACCTCCGGTAAATGCTTTGCATCTGGAGAAAGAGAGAGAGATTCTACTTGTAAAGTAGTAGTAATTGGTAAAGGCCCGTGTGATGTATGAGTACGTCTTACCCTTTGAGTTACAGTTTTTGTAATAGCTAACCTTTAAAGACAAGACTCCAGGGACTTTGAGTTTCACGAAGAGCAGATGCTGGAACTCTACTCTATTTGCATTAGACATCCTATTTACATGTTAATTATTTGGTGATGTCAATATGTGTTGCTACATAGAGAAAGTAATTCTATTGTATTACATGACTACCGCACACAGTATCTAGCAATTGTTATACCATGGACCTTGGTCTTATACGACGTCGTTTTGAATTTTAATGTTGATGGCAAAATCAGAATGATGCAGGTGAGATTAAAATGAATAAATCATACGGAGTAAGGAAACAGATCTCGAGGTGTGTTAGTCTAAAATTTTAAGTGCGTGATTTTCTTTATTAAGGTGCGTGATTTTCCTTCTTAAGGTGCGTCATTTTAACAAAGGTGTGTTGTTATAACATTTAATGTGCGTCTTTCTAACACTTAAAATGCACCATTTTTAGCTTGTGTTTCTTCCTTCTAGAGGCGCATTTTTTTTTTAAAATTATTGATTTTTTTTTTAAATTATTGATTTCAATCGTTAATCTAGATTTTTGATCAACGGTTCAGATCTAACCGCATGTTCACAACAACAACACATTAACTATGAATAACAACTTCGATGAAATTCCTAGATAGGTCTAATTGCAAAATCTTTAGCATAAATTAATGTATTTTCAATTAACAAATTAAACTGAAAATATATAATAACGGTACATAATACATTAATTGTAATAGGTATATGATATATTAATTGTAATGTATACATAATTTGTTAACTAAAAGTATATATATAATTAATAAGCGTACCTTGAAATTATAAACTCAATCATTATTCCATAGACTAGTGTAGACCATGAATAAAAGTAAACGAACATAATTTGAAAGTACATTATTCTTTATTTTGAAACATAATTTGAAAGTACATTATCTAATCCTTTGAAAGTACATTATTCTTTAAATTCAATACAAAAATGTTGTACCTTTAATATATTAAAGATGTACCTTTTTTATTTATAATTCACACACCTGTATAGAAAAATTTGCCTTATAAACGACCCTGGGTCTATTCTGTTGAAATTGAAACCCCATTTTATAGAAGGGAAATATAAATTATCTTGTTTTTCGAATAATGTCAATAAAGTACTCAATATATATACAGGCACTGACAAATTGATGTACTCTCAACACCAAACATCACTCATTAATACACATCAGTGCAAAATTTACCCAATTGCTCAAAACCATAAGCTTATAAATTCCAGTAATTCAATTCTCCGCTGTGTATACATAAAATAATTAATAAAACACAATAGGCCTACAAAAGTATTGCACATGACATTTGAAGTTAGACCCCTAACAACAAACTCCCACATCTTCCTGATGAGTTAAAAGATCAATCAAGATGAAATGGTAACAATATGCACCAATATCCTCAAATATCACATCATTGTGCTTGATAAATTAATTCCCATGGATAGTATACCGGTCAAACTTCTTGTTCGGGTCATAAATCTGCAATAAAAGATGCATTTAACAGATAATCAACAACCAAATCCTTCCATGCTACACCAGGTTCCAAGTTAGGGTCACAAGCATAGAGTACTACTACACCCCATGCCCTCTTTTTTTTTTTGGTGTGAACCACGAGGTGGTCCGGGTCTTTTTCTGTCCGTTTAACGGTCCAGGTCCACCCGACCAATCCCCGTTCGCTCTGGGAGGCACGGGAGCTGGCCCAAAGGGAATCGTCACTTGTGGGAATTGAACCCAGGTTATCCCGGAATTCTCCCCCACAAAGAGAGCTCATTTGCCACTTGAGCTAAGAATGGTGATTCATGACCCCAACTCTCATGCAAGCACACGGTATGACAATTTTCACACGCATAAATGGAGAAAAAGGTTTACCTCCCACCGATAAGCAGGGAAAATATGCTTATTTTTCTCGTACCAATGTCTTTCTACAACTTTCCCAGCATGTGACTGTTGGTTATATCAAAGAAAGTTATCAGTAATATTGACATGTAGATTGTTTACCAATTGGATTTCTTTACAGTTATACTAAGAATGATGATAGCAACAATCAATTAATAATGGTTCTAAAAAGTGTAAAAGGTGGACCTGTGGCGCATTGAATTTTAAGATTTTAAAAATGAAAAATATTTCACCTCAAATCACTATTCAAGCACAAAGAAAAACAAAAACAAAAAATACAAACAAACCATTTACACCCCAAGGTAGCTATAAATAACCATAGCCATGTTCAGCTACAAGCATAAATTTTAGTAACTCTCAAAATTCATGTGACACACTAGACAGTCAGAGTAATATAAATCTGTAAAATAATAATATAACTATCTTCCAAAGTTCAGATAGTCTTATACAATCTATCACACTTTTAGCTCACAAATAACAAATATGCATCAATCAATCAATTGGCGAAAGGATTATGGAAACATGGATATAGGTTGACTAAGTGAACATAAATGAGGAGAACATACCTCATCCTTCTCTATAGTTGCATCTGCTGTTGTGCGCACATCTTCATGGACATCAAAATGGAAAAGCTGTGACAAAATGTATACAACAAATAAATAGTTTGAATTAATTTTCATTCCAAGGTCATCTTTACCCAAGAAAAGGCTAATGAATTCTCCCATACTAAATCACATGCACTATGGAGAGGGTGACAATAAAAAGGATATAGTTCTGAAGGTTACCGGTCCACTCTTCCCCCTTGCCTTATTAACTATCAGCTCGTAGAAAGTGTGTTGCTGAGCATCCATTGTCATCAGGAAATAAGAGTTAGCAGGAACCGAGGCAAAGTATACATAACATAAGGAATCCATAATACATATATCTTACATGAGGAATAATAAGATCTTCTTTCACATAAAGCAGGTTCTCCACTGAAGTAGTTCGAACCTCTCGAAACTCAGGGGCAAGCTGTTGTTGAACAGCACGAAGGAATTCTCCCATAGTGTCCCCCTTCCGGACCTACAAATAGAGGCATAAATGCAAAATTCAAAATATTTTATTTAAAATAAAAAGGCGATTCTAAGTTCTAACCCAAAAGTTGTGCTTACTAACTTGGATAACTCGTCTATGGCCTGTTCCATCCCAATAACTATAGGTGATTTGAAGAGGTTCATCTGAAACAATAGATCCAAGAGAAAAATGATATTCAAACTTCAGCAATTATAGCATGCCTACAAGAAAATGTACTTTGGTAGAATGATGTATTTACTTTTGATTAGTTGTTGTTCACGAAACCACTGTTTCTTGAGCCTTTCGCGTTCAGCCTGCTCCTCTGCCTCCCTCTCACTGAAGAAGTCAACTTTGAATTCAAAGGGCCATTGTATGAGTAATAAAAGCAATCCTCTCACGTGGGGGAAGAGAAAGGAAGGGGGTTGGTGGGGGGGGGGGGGGGGAGGGGGGTACAAAAGGATGCCAAACCTATCTGGCAAAAAGCTGGTCTCCACTGTTGGATCCTTCCCAAATTTTCTCCTCGCAAGGGTCTCTAATTCTTTGATTTCTATGCAAAATATGGACCTGGTAAATATGGTGATACATATACAAAATTCTCTCAAACTGTAAAGCTAGAATATAATACTTTGCAAATTTAATCATCCAAGTAACACTTGGTCACCACACTGATGGGAACATGATTTCAAAAGAAAAATGATAACAAATATGATTTCTCAATGAAAAGGAAAGCAAAACTAAGATAAGTATGAATACATATCACTCCCTGGTTTTACTAATAAAACCAGAACCTAGTAATAACAACACACAATTTCATAATGTCAAGGCCGGGAAAATGATAGGCTTACTGTTGTCTTCATCTTCATCTTCCTCTTCATTGCCATTGTCAAAATCATCAGAAAACGATAATCGAGGGTCTGCTTTTACTTTGCGCTTTTTAAGCTTTTGTAACAAAAGCTCATCCTCCCTACAAGAGAACAATAGGTTTGCATATTAAACAGATAACGACGAATAGCAGTAACCCCTAGCATGTATAGCATAAAAGTTTAAAATTTGTACTTACTCTTGTTGCAACTTCTGAAGCTTCTCCTTCTCTTCCTCTTCAAGTTTAGTCCTAATATTCACCCTCTTCAATAAATAAGACCAAAAGTAATGTAAGTCAGAAATCAAATCAACAAAACAGCCAATTGCCAATTCAATTGTGGTAGCATCTAAATTTAGAAGCAAAGCACGTACCTTTTCAACATATTCCTCTCTAGTAACAAGACCAACAGTTTCCTTCTTAAATGTTGTCTCCAGAATCTAAACAATACAACATAGGAATAATCACAAAGGAGAAAATTTGGAATGCTTAATTTAAAAGCGTTTTTGCTTGAAGGAAGCTTGCAAAGTAATTTCAACATAATAGATATTAGAAACTAACTTCACAAAAGCAAAAGCCCTAGAATTAGCTAAGTTATATTGAAATTGTAAGCATGTGGTTGTAAAAGTATGGATATATGACCTCAGATGTACTGGAGCCGAACTGAAGAAGACCAAGCTGTCCTGTAGATGAAGCAGTTTTGTTCTTGAGCTCCTGAATCTTTCGTCGTTCGGCTTCTCGCTGCTTCTCCAGGCGGCGGATTTTGACGGAGTCCTGGGCCGTACCGACATAACCATCGCCCATTCCCGACATCTTTACTTCGAATTTCAGACCTCCTCAAATCTCAATGGCGTCCGGTTTTAATTTAGAATGTGAGACGGATGACATCAGAAACTCTGAATCAAGAACAATGAATATATATCTTGGTGTTTATACTATAGTTGTCAAAGCGGATCGACCGCAAATTATGCTGTGCAACGGAATGCACCTTGCAAGGTGCATACGGTTGCAAAACGGCGTCGTTTTGGTTAAAAAAACGCGCGTCCCACTTAAAGAAGAAATCAGATTCGATTTCCGACAATAGCATTTTTATATATCTAGAAATTCATAACTATATAACCACAATTTCATAACTATATATCCACAATTTCATAACTATATATCCACAGTGAATGAATGAAGTAAAAATCCACAATGAATGAATGAATGAAGTAAAAAATCCACAATGAATGAACTAAATATCCACAATATATGATTGAACTAAATATCCACAATGAATGAACTAAATATCCATAAATTCATAACTATATAACCACAATTTCATAACTATATATCCACAATTTCATAATTATATATCCACAATAATGCTATTGTTGAGAGTCGAACCTGATTTTTTTTTTTTAAAGTGGGACGCGCGTTTTTAATCAAAACGACGTCGTTTTGAACCGTATGCACCATGCGCGTGGTACATTCGGTTGCACAGCATAACTATTGGCGGATCGACTGGGCGAGGCCCGTCAAAGTCCACCTTATGGGCCTACGGGTGTCCGGCCCACCCATTATGCTGTGGAACTGGGATCGTTATGCTGTGCATCCGTGTGCACCAAGCATGGTGCATACGGATGCAAAAACGACGTTGTTTTAAATAAAATGCGTGTCTCACTTAAAAAAAAAAAAAAATCAGTTTTGATTCTCCTCAACAGTATTATGTTGTTCATTCATTCTGGATTTTTAGTTTATAGATTCTGGATTTTTAGTTCGTTGATTCTGGATATTTAGACGTAAATCGAAACTAATTTTTTTTTCATTCATGTTGGATATTTAGTTCATTCATTATGGAAATTTAGTTCATTCATTATGAATTTTTAGTTCATTCAATCTGTATTTTTAGTTCATAGATTCTGAATTTTTAGTTCATTGATTCTGAATTTTTAGTTCATTGATTTTGGATATATAATTCAAATTATGCACAACATAATGCTGTTGTTGAGAATCGAACTGCATTTTTTTAAGTGAGACGCGCGTTTTTAATAAAATGACGTCGTTTTTGCATCTGTATGCACCATCCATGGTGCATACGGATGCACAACATAATTTGTCGTGGAACTGTGTGAGTTCCAAAACTATTCATAATTATGAATATATAGTTCACAAATTATGAACATATAGGCTCTCTTTGGCAAACCTAGCTGAAAAGCTATAAGCTAAGAGCTGAAAGCTGAAAAGGAGCTGAAAGTTGAAAAGCTATAAGCTCGGAGCTGAAAATTTAAGAGCTGTTAAGCTAGCTGTTATGGTTCAAAGTATTTGGTAAAATTAACGTTTTGACAACCTTATAAATGTAAAAAGACTAAAAAGGACATCTTCATAAAATTTAAATTAGTTTGTCTACATATTAAAATTTAACATTTTGTCTTTAAAAAAATTAACATTTTGAAATAAAACTATTAGCATAATCATGATCTAGCATCTCATAATGAAGTAGCAATATTGTTGCAAATCTCATAATAATAATAATAATAATAATAATAATAATAATAATAATAATAATAATTGCCGTGAAAGTTGGGAGAAGAGAAAAGGGTTTTAATTAGGAAGGGTAAATTATGTCATTTCTTTCAAATAGTAAGGATAAAGATGGTAAAAAAGTTACGAAGCTAGGAGCTTATTTTGAAACGCTATCTCCAAAATAAGCTCTTATTTTAAGCTAGGAGCTTATTTTGAAACGCTACCTCCAAAATAAGTTCTTATTTTAAGCTAGGAGCTTATTTTGAGAACATTACCAAATAGAGCTTATAGCTTATTAGTAGCTTAAAATAAGCTATAAGCTCCTAAATAAGCTCTGCCAAACATAGCCATTCTATAATTATGAACATAGATTTGTGAACATAATTATGAATGTATAGATTTGTAATTATGAATATAGAGATTTAATAATTGTGAATATGAAGTTCAAAAATTATGAATATATAGCTTTATAATTATGAACATATAGTTCAGTAATTATGAATATGGAGTTCAATATTTATGAATATGAAGTTCAAAAATTATGAATATATAGCTTTATAATTATGAATATATTGTTTACCCAGTTCGATACAGTGTGTATCTACATCTGGGGGACGATCACCGATATGTCCAATCCACTAACTCAGAATTCAATGTACAAAGGTAGAGAAGAACAATCTCACCCAAGTGCCCCACACAATGTCAGTACCCAGTCTACAAAGGTTTAGTGGATTGTTAAAGTCGGAGAGCCACGCATTCAGAAGTCCAATGAAGTCCCTTCAATGGAAAGCTAACTCTGATGCAGTCCGCTTCACTGACGTAGTCCCACGTTGTTCCCACAACTGAGTGATCTTCGCGTCCAATTGTTTAAACAGTGTTGATTCTTCTCAAGTTCGTCTTCGTAATCACCATGAACTCATTGTCTTGAGAAGAGGCATAAAAAACAGATATGTGTATCTTTTTAGTATAGAGTGTTGCAGCTTCAATCAATGCAACCATAACTTATGAAAGTACATGTGTATATATACTTCTTTATTTGGACACTCTTCAAATATAACTCTGGTTGTAAAAGGTAGGAATTTTGTGAAGGAAAAGATCTTGTATCGTCAAGGAAATTCGGTCCATACCTCAAAAGATGATTCGCTGATATTCTTTCCAAAACAGCCATCTCATAACGATACGTCCTTTATCAGTCCTTCGGTGATCTAGAGATGCGTCTGTTGATGTAACTGACCTATCAGTCTTCTTTTGGGGACGGTCAGACACCAAGCTAAACTCTATCTTAATTAATTTGCCATAATAATATTGTCAATTATATGTTGTTTTTTTTTTCTTAAAGAAATAAAACACTAACACTGGGCAATAAACTTTTGTGATTGGCTTTCCCTTGAATGGACATTTTCTAATACGCCTATAAGTACCTTCATTCAAGACATAGAAGATGCTGATCAATCGAAAATTTTTCTAAGTATTCAAGTATTCATAAGTTTCACATCTAGTGACCAATGAGAGAAGAGATCAAAACTACAAAGTTATATCCAGAATTTCAAGAAGCTTGGCCTGTTCATTCGTGAAGATCAAGTCACTAAAAGCCAAGTCTTCTTAGTTGGAGAAATAACAATGTTATCTTCAACCTTTGTAACTCTACTCGGTAGAAGTATAAGAGACGGAGTAAACTCGGTTGAATTGAAAAACCTAGACGCTCAAGTTCGGCTTAGCGTTCAAGGATTGAGTGGTCTTTTGTACTAAAGGATTAGTGCAAACTTCCTTAGGAGTTTTAAGGAAAATAATAGAGTAAGTTTAGTTTGGGCCGAACCGTTATAAAAATCTTTATCTCTATCTTTATTTTACTGCTCACTGCATACCATCTCTCACAACAAATTATAAGTTTTAAAGAACAAAATACGTGCAAACTTAACTAAACAGGGTTAAAAAGAATTTCTGCTGTGCATACTCTACGAGACGTTAAAGTTACCTCTCAGATTGCTTGAACGAATCGTGAAAAGAGTTTTAAAATCCAACAAGTATATTTACACCCCTCCCCCTCTAGACTTGTTCCCTTAACCCTCTGGGATCAACACCATTTTATCTGTCCTACTAACTATTCATTGGCAAACACACTTTTTTTCTTTGTTTATTTTCTTTAGTATTTTTACTTATTTTTAAATTTGATTTTTTGTGTTTAATAGTACTTTTAGTGTAGTTTCTTAATATATAAATTTTGTATATTAATACTAAACTTAATATTATGAAAATTTTGATTAAAAATAACTTCTGTCATGACTCGCTAACGGAACCACACACATAAAATGGGAGCGTTATGCTATGGACCTGTGTCCACCATGTGCATGCTAGACACGTTGTACATTCATAATTTATATACTGTAGATTCATAAAATTTATAATGTAGATTCATAATTTTTATACTATACATTCATAATTTTTGTACTGTAGATTCATAATTTCAATACTGCACATTCATAATTTATGTACTATAGATTCATAATTTCTATACTATAAATTCATAAAATTTATAATGTAGATTCATACAGTACAGAAATTATGAATGTGCAGTATAGAAATAATGAATTTACGGTATAGATTTTATAAATCTACAGTATAGAAATTATGAATCTACGGTATAGATTTTATAAATCTACAGTATAGAAATTATGAATTTACAGTTTAGAAATTATGAATCTACGGTATAGAAATTATGAATCTACAGTATAAAAATTATCAATGTAAAGCGTGTCCACCATGCACATGGTTACGTCCATAGGATAATTTGCCCATAAAATGAGAGGGATGGACTAATTATTTGTTGGTATAAAGTTAATGCAACTTATTGACTTATTCTACCCTTCTATCACATACACTGATACACTGATACACATAGTCACATAGGGGAAATATTAGGTCTAAAATGAATAACACTAGATTGGAAAGAAGGGGCACCAAACCAAACGCCATAGCCCATAGGTGGGATACATCTTTGTAAGACTTTCCAATTCCAAAAGGCAAAAACCCAGTAAAGAAGATGAGTGATCTCCAAGTCCAATCAACTGCGTAGAGCTAAGAAGAAGAAGAAGAAGAAGAAATCCCCAAAAATGGATCTCTCGTCTCAACATCAACAAGGACAAGAATACCAATCTTGGCAATCGCAATCGCAATCGCAATCATATGATCCATCAGCCTACAATCCTCATCATCAGCATCAATCCTATTACTACGACTCCTATTATTACCAGCAATACCCAAACGGCTATGCTTACACTCCCAATCAATCGAATGCCCATCACCCACGGCAGCTGCACGCCCCGCCGATTCATCCGCCGGGTGCATCTCCCGCCGACTTGTCCGCGCAGGCTCAGGAGAATGTGTATCACCCGCCGCCGCAACAGGGAAGTGGGGATATCTCTGCGGCTGCGGCGGCGACCTATCTCACGTCGGGGTTGCAGCAGGGGCATCGATGGTATCCACAGCTCGATGCCTATGGGCCCGTCGTTGGTGGTCCGGGTTTGGCTTCGGGACCCGCTCCGAGACCTTATGGGTTGCCTCCTCTTCCTCCTCCGGTAGGTTTTCGTTAACAATTTACCCTAAAGTTTTGATCTTTTAGTGAGTTTTGATACGCTGATGATGTTTATTCATTTGATCATATATCAATCAAAATCAATCTTTTGATCTTTTGGATGATGAGGGAACCCACACCCACTACTCAAGGGCGAGCATGGGGTAAATCCCGCCTTAGTCTTAGCATTGTGACCCTAGCGGGCAAAAGACCAGCCTAGGTTAAGCATTGGGTAAATCCTGCCTTAGTGTTAGTATTGTGACCCTAGCGGGCAAAAAACCAGCCTAGATTAAGCATTGGATAAATCCCGCCTTAGTCTTAGTATTGTGACCTTCGCAGGCAAAAGACCAGCCTAGGTTAAGCATTGGGTAAATCCCGCCTTAGTCTTAGTATTGTGACCCCAGCGGGCAAAAGACCAGCCTAGATTAAGCATTGGATAAATCCCGCCTTAGTCTTAGTATTGTGACCCTCGCAGGCAAAAGACCAGCCTAGGTTAAGCATTGGATAAATCCCACCTTAGTCTTAGTATTGTGACCCTCCCCTGCAAAAGACCAGCCTAGGTTGTCTATTGATGACCGACTCAAACAAAAAAAGGTGAATGGGCTGTTCTCGCCGGAGTCAACACGGTGACTAACTTGGCGGGGTTGCTCCCATAATCAATCTTTTGTTGTTTTGCCATAAAACGTGTGCATTATTTCAAATTTCAATATTTAGTGGCATGATCATCTAGTTATACCTATCTATTAGTATTTGTGCTCTGACATGCTGGATAGGTAACAGGTTAGGTTATAATTGGATTTGGGTCCAAGTCCAACTAGATTGTTTTTGTGTTGAGTTATTGGGTTGATACAGATGATGGAGACTAGAACATATTATACAGAATGAGTCTTCTGGAATCTCTGGGAGCATTTCCATTGTACTAGGATGCTTGTGTTTGGGACTTTTGGGTAAAGTGGGGATAACTGACCAAAGAAGATAATAATTGTTGTACTATGTATTTCATTTTCTTCAAACTAGAATGCGTGTACAACCTTTCGCCCCTCCAGTTTCGTTCATCCATCGTTTTGCATTTATTGTTTTTTGTCTTGGGAACTATCTTGACTCCAACCTGCAGGCTGCTCAGTCTTTTCACAAGTTTGGCAGTAAAAGGGGAGGCAAGCCGTTGAGAGGTGGTGGTCGGGGGAAACCTTTACGTGGAAGGGGGCGTAATCAGGGCAGAGGTGGTTCTAGGCTGTTATCATCCTTCAACATCAATGCTTCAGTTGGCAAGAACACACTTTGCAGCAGACAAGAGGCAGGACCTTCCACTAATAACCATGGAAAGGAAGCCAACTCTAACGGGCTGTTGCAGGTAACTGCGTCTATACAGAACAATGCAGCTTCTAATCAGCAATCCAAAGTTGCTAGGTGTGAATTATGCATGGTTGATTGCACTAGTTTGGAAGTTCTTGAACAACACAAGCTTGGGAAGCGGCATCAGAAGAACATGAAAAAGTTGGAGCCATTGAAAAACTTCAACGCACCTATAAGTGAATCCCTGGATGGCAAGAAAGTTGCTGATGGTTCAACTTTGCAGACTGAAATTCAGGTTGAAGAGAGCAAGCCGAGCCTCTCAGAAACTTTACCGTCTGGAACTGTTCAGCATGAAGCTGCTGCAATGGGAAGTGAAGAGCAAAAAGATGAAGCGGAAAATCCTAATGTACCCGTAGAGGCCAAAATCGAGTCACAAGCAGTGAAGCGTAGGGTGAATCAGTTCAATAATCAAAAGCGTGGATCAAAGCGTAAAACGCGAGGTGGGAAGCGGATGAGAATGTCTGACACACCGAGACCAGAAAGGGAACCTCCCAAACCCAAAGTTGTAATTCCTCTAGTATGTGATTTGTGTAATGTCAAGTGCGATACACAGGAAGTTCTTGACCGCCATCTTTCCGGTAAAAAGCACATGTCTAAGCGTAAGCACTTTGAAGTTCACCAAGCTATGTATGGACCTCTAGGGCTTCAAGTTCTGTACCCCCCTAATCCAGTCACCCTACATTCACAGGGTCATCAACAAGCCCTATATGTACCCCAAGCTCCAGATCCTTCAACAGCAGCAGTGTCTTTGCCCTCTCAAACTCAAAATGCTGTATCCTAAGATTTCATGTATTCTTCTTTTTCACCGAAACACAAATTTTCAATTGAAAATGTTACTCTGAGATTTTGATCACCAAACTTTTATTCTAATGTTATCAAGCAGGGGTCAGGGACTAACTTCTGCAGTTCCTGTTGAGGTGGATACAAAGTTAACTTTGACCATAATTGGATGTGAAATGGAACAAGATTCTAAGGTTTCAATTTTGCTCTTCCTTATAAAATACAAATGGCCATGGCCATTTCTAATTCCCTACACAAACCTTCCCCATGAAAGGAAGGAAAAGAATTCTTGGACAGGCAATGAATTTATTGCTTGTTTGTTTGGTAGTTTGCTAGGTTGTAAATGATGAGTGCTTATTGATGCCCCATTTCAGAGGTGGAATCCTGATAATTTTTCATCCCAGGAATATATCATTAACATGTTGGCAATATTAGCTGGGGAATTAGATTGATCTCTGTTTTTGATTTTTTTTTTTCTAAAAATCTTTATAACCAATTGTAATTATGCAAATGGTGTAATTTTATTCATGACCCAGCAGTCCGTTGTAAAGGTAAACGCTTCAAAAGAAGAAGGAAAGGCTATAAGGAAAAAATAACTTTACAGAATAGAGAATATCAAATAATTTGGCCGTTTCTCCCAATGTTCTTCTGAACCCAAGGATGTGATGGTAGGATGTGACGATGAGTTTGACACCATAATGCACAAGCTCATTTCACATTCAAAAAAACTAGAAGTCATCTTAATTGTGGGGATGGGCTACTCTATCTCAAGAATATAACCTTAAAGAAATTCTCATTAGCCTTCTTGACGCCAATGGAGGAGATATCTCTAATCTTCCAAATCAATTGCGTCAAAGGTTGATGGATCAAAGATACCTAATTGTTATAGATGATATATGGGGTACCAACGCATGGGATGACCTCCATAGGTGTTTCCCTGAAAGTTTCAATGGGAGTCGAATATTGATAACTACACGGCTCAAACAGGTGGCTGACTATGCTAGTTCAGGTAACAATCCTCATTACAAGCGATTCTTAAATTTCAATGAAAGTTGGAATTTATTTTACAATAAAGTATTTGAGGAAAAAAAAGTCCCCCTTAAATTTCAGACAATTGGTAGAGGTATTGTTGAAACATGTCAAGGATTACCTCTAACAATTATGGTGGTTGCTGGGCTCTTCACCTCGTTCAACCAGCCATCACTAAACTAGTGGTGGAATATTGCTGAAAATCTGAATTCGTTGCTTAACATTGATCCGGAAGAAAAATGTTCAAAAATACTTTCATTAAGTTACTACCACTTACCTCCACAATTGAAAGTGTTTTTTTTTTTTTTTTTTTTTTTGGGTGTTTTCCCGGAAGATAGTGAAATTGGTGTGAAACATTTGATTAGGCTATGGGTTGCAGAGGGATTCTTAAAGCTAGAGTTGAATGATACCATGGAAGAAGTGTGTAAGGCTTACTTACAGGATTTTGTAGACAGAGGTTTATTTCAAATTGATAAGCGGAGTTTTGGCGGTAAAATGAAGGGTTGTAGGGTCCATGATGTGTTGCATAACTTTTGCTTGAGAGAAGCTCAGAGGGAGAAGCTTTTGTTGTGTGTTATAAATGAGAATAGTGTTGAGATGCGTAGACTTGAAAAACAGCATGCTCTTAAATGCATTCTCACGAGAATAAAGAGAAGCATGTCATTGTTGTTGGAAATTTATATAGTAATGAAGATTAATGTTTGAGATGAACTACCATGAAAGCTTAAATAATATTTGAAGTTGTGGAGTTGTAAATATTATTTTAGTTTGGTATAAAGTTAATTAAAATACTGGGAGAAATTTATATAGCTATATGCTTGAGATATATAGCTACTATGCTTGAGAGTATATAGCTAATATGCTTGAGAGTATATAGCTATATGCTTGTGATATATAGCGGCTAATATGCTTGAGAGTTATAGCTAATATGCTTGAGAGTATTAATGCATGTTTGGATATTTTCATGCGTAAGGTTTTGAGGCATTTTGAAGCTATATGCTTCAAAACTGCACTTAACATGCTTGAAATATGCTCTTCTACATTTTGAAGCTATATGCTTCAAAGTTACACTTAACATGCTTGGTATATGTAGCTGTATGCTTGAGATTATTGAACTACATATATGTATATTATTTATATTTATTCTTTGCAAGTTTTCATGCGTGAGGAATAAGGAATATATATATATATATATATATATATATATATATATATATATATATATATATATATATATATATATATATATAGGGCCGTCCCAATAGAAATAGGGGTCTTGTGCAATATTTTGATTTGGACCCCTTTTTTCAAGTAATTTTTATATATAAATAATAGTTGTTTAAAAAGTTGTGTCAAAAATTCAAAAATATAAATATTGTATAAAAAAAATACATCTAAAATTTTATTTAAAAAGTGACATGCGTCATGCACACTTAGATGCAAAATCATCTATCAAACTTTTGATATCAACTTCTTCCAAAACCTTCATTGACCAAAACACATTTACCTATACTTTAAAAAAAAAAAATCTTGCAACAAAAACAAAACACCTTGTCAAGTTCTTTTGAATATATAAGCCAATCTCGATCACACTTCTCTCCATTTAGCAAATATCTTGTGTAAAATGCTGATGAAAATCTTATAGAGAATTTATCTTTAAGACCTTTATTTATTGATAAATCTCTTTAGGGTCATCTTTGACAAGAATATCTATTAATTTAGAATCAATAGCATCCCAATTTCTTAGGTCATATATGTCAAATAAAATTAAATCATTTGGTTTATTACTGTGACCAACATCATCTAAACAACTATCAACATTCTTATTATTTTCATTGTCACAGTGATACATATCATCCTTGTGCACATTATCATCATTTAAATTCTTTCCAATCTCACAATCATCTTGATCTTATATATAAAGATTAACATCTAACAATTTTTCATTGACATCATCTTTTTGCTCATCTATTTGAGTTTTTTTTTTTTTTTTTTTTTTTTTTTTTTTTTTTTGTAATAAAATTTTCAAGAGCTCCCTTTTGAGATTGCGTTAGTTGTTCAATTCTTCTTTTCTTTTTTATGCCTCTCAAACCCAGATGAATATTTTCTAGAAGACATAAATCCTAAGGAAAAAATAAAAATTTATTTTTTAAACTCTATGAATAAATATTAATCAAGAAACGAATTTTTGACTATCTTATTCTGAAATCAAAATTATTAAGTCATGTAAATAAAACAATAAACAAGAATTGTGAAATAATACATAATTTTTGTCAAGAGAATTTAAGAATTTGAAAGTTTGTATGATAAAAAAGAATTGAAGAATCGGTAGAACACGAGTTGAATCTATCGTCTTTCTCGAATTTGAATTACCTAATCTAGTTCAAATACATAAACATTCAAATTAAATACTCAATTAAATATTTAAATTAATGTAAATACCTAGATGCCAGAATTCACAAACAACAAACTCAAATTAAAAGTTCAAAACTCAAATACCTAAGCAGTAGAAATTTGTTGTAGATTTGTATTTTGTAGTCTTTCTCTCTCGTCAATCATCTGGGTTTTTCGCACGCTAGGCTAGTCGGCTAGATTAGGGTAATAATTTTGTTTGTCGGCTTTGTTCAATTAGAAGTCTTCTAAGTTCTAACGTTGAGGCATGAATGCATGATATATATACTACTATTTTTTTTTTTTTTAAATTAAGGGGCCCTATGCGCCAGCCCTGGGCAGACTTGCCCAGGGACAGCCCTATATATATATATATATATATATATATATATATATATATATATATATATATATATATATATATATATATATATATATATATAAAATTTTGCATAAAGTTACTGACTCAAAATAAATTTAATTATTTCTCCAGTGATGGATATATCATTCAGGATATATCTTATCTTATGGAAGTTGAGTTTTAAATCACAGCAACTTCCATGTAACTTCTCCAAACAGATATGTTTTACATCTATAAATAGTTTGGAGAAGCATATGAGAGGTGATGGATTTTTACAAGCAATTATTTTGCAGGAAATCAAGATACTTCACAGGCTTACATCTCTACAGAGAATTCTCAAACAAAGCAACTTTGGAATTTCATTCATCTTCTTGTATCCCATAAGATTAAATCTTGAACCTTGTTGCTTTTATAGAGGGAGATTTAAAGCTTATAGGAAAGTGATTACACGCCTGAAGATATCAAATGATCCAGTTTTTGTTCCCTGTTGTATTCTGTATTATTGTTGTATCTCAAATGTATTACATACTACAAGCACTTTTACCAACAATTGTCAATAGACTCGGATCCAAAAGCTTGCCGTTGGATTAGCAATCAATTAAAAGGATTGAATTTGCCACTTATTGGGGAATATGTAGAATTTCGTTCCATTCTTTATTTTGGATGGGGAAATGTTTACACCATACCATTTCCCTGTTTGAAAGTGCTAAGGGTGTTGGACATATCTTCAAGGTTAATTCATGATCACGAAATACCAAGCGAAATAGTAGTAAATCTTGTTAATTTGATATACTTAGCCCTAAGAATGGAAAAGTTCTTTCCAGATTTAGAATGGTTTAAACGTCGAAGTTTGCAAACCTTAATTGTTTTTACTCTCAACGCCGATGTATTGCAACGGAAGTCAGAATTTAATATTTCTGTCACCATTAAGGCACGTTTATCTTAATGGTTGTTTCCTCAATCTCCCAACATTGGTCCAAAGAAATCTACAAGCTCTATCTTGATTAAATCTATCTCATTAAGGTCTAGACTTGAAAAAAATTTTAAACGTGAAGGAACTTGGGATTTACATTGACTGCAACCACATTTCAAAGTTGCAGCCTGGTTCACTTAATAGTCTTGCCAATTTGCATAAGTTGGAGAACTTGAAAATTAAAGCATCATATAAAAGAATTAAAAATGATTACTTTCGGCTTCTGCCGATTTTACCAAAAAATCTCAAAAAGTTATCACTTTGCCCATTGCATATGGCCATTATTGGCACATTGCCCAATCTTGAGATTTTAAAATTGAAGAGGTATGCTTTCAGTGGCCAAGAGTGGAATACAAGCAAGGATGAATTTTGCAGGTTAAAGTACTTGCA